GAGCTTTGTAACCGAAACAAATCCTCTAAAGTCCAACCTTTTTGGCAACCACTAAAAGTCCACCCAATTGGCACCTTCAATTTACCCTAAAAGTCCAGTCTTCATTGGCAACCACTAAAAGTCCACCCTCGTTGGCATCCTCAATAACCAAAGTCCAAACCATTTGGCAACTACCGAACTCAGTCCCTGGTGATGTCCCCCAACAGGATTTCATCCCCAGCATACCTGGTCGCTGCATTATCATAAGCACGACATACAGCCATATCATAGTCATATCGAGCATTAACATATCATTGGCATTCGCATCGTGCACTTCCTAGCAGTTGCATCTTAGTTGCAAGTTTGGGCATTATGAAACATTGCATTGCATGACAATATAGCAGGATCCAGAATCAGTTCACAAGCATCTTGGTCAGTCCTCCAGTGAAGTTGGCAGTATGACTCTGAAAAGATTTAATACCTCACGAGTTCAGGGAATTCTACTCCCCAGCAAGTCAGTCTTCAACCATGCAGTTGGTGATGATAATCCCCAGCAACTATTGGCTCCCCAAGCAGAGGTTATCTTAGAGAGTTTATCGAAGATTTCTCCCCTGCAGAGTTCTGCACAAGGTTGCTCCTCTAATAGGAATCTTAGCTCAGCTATTCCTCAGCAAAATTATCACTAGAGATACTGCTTTGGTATCATCGAAGAGCCTTAATGGATAAGGGAATGCTTCGACCACCCGAAGAATCTCAAGTTTTAATCAGAGATACTGCTTTGGTATCATCGAAGAACCTTATGGGATAAGGGACTGCTTCGACCACCCGAAGAATCTCAAGTTTTGATCAGAGATACTGCTTTGGTATCATCGGAGGACCTTAATGGATAAGGTACTGCTTCGACCACCCGAAGAATCTCAAGTTTTTGTTCGAGATACTGCTTTGGTATCATCGAAGAGCCTTAATGGATAAGGTACTGCTTCGACCACCCGAAGAATCTCAAGTTTTTGTTTGAGATACTGCTTTGGTATCATCGAAGAGCCTTAATGGATAAGGTACTGCTTCGACCACCCGAAGAATCTCAAGTTTTGTTCGAGATACTGCTTTGGTATCATCGAAGAGCCTTAATGGATAAGGTACTGCTTCGATCACCCGAAGAATCTCAAGTTTTGTTCGAGATAATGCTTTGGTATCATCGAAGAGCCTTAATGGATAAGGTACTGCTTCGATCACCCGAAGAATCTCAAGTTTCGTTCGAGATACTGCTTTGGTATCATCGAAGAGCCTTAATGGATAAGGTACTGCTTCGACCACCCGAAGAATCTCAAGTTTTTGTTCGAGATACTGCTTTGGTATCATCAAAGAGCCTTAATGGATAAGGTACTACTTCGACCACCCGAAGAATCTCAAGTTTTGTTCGAGATACTGCTTTGGTATCATCGAAGAGCCTTAATGGATAAGGTACTGCTTCGATCACCCGAAGAATCTCAAGTTTTGTTTGAGATACTGCTTTGGTATCATCGAAGAGCCTTAATGGATAAGGTACTGCTTCGATCACCCGAAGAATCTCAAGTTTCGTTCGAGATATTGCTTTGGTATCATCGAAGAGCCTTAATGGATAAGGTACTGCTTCGATCACCCGAAGAATCTCAAGTTTCGTTCGAGATACTACTTTGGTATCATCGAAGAGCCTTAATGGATAAGGTACTGCTTCGATCACCCGAAGAATCTCAAGTTTTGTTCGAGATACTGCTTTGGTATCATCGAAGAGCCTTAATGGATAAGGTACTGCTTCGATCACCCGAAGAATCTCAAGATTCGTTCGAGATACTGCTTTGGTATCATCGAAGAGCCTTAATGGATAAGGTACTGCTTCGATCACCCGAAGAATCTCAAGTTTCGTTTGAGATACTGCTTTGGTATCATCGAAGAGCCTTAATGGATAAGGGACTGCTTCGACCACCCGAAGAATCTCAAGTTTTGATTAGAGATACTGCTTTGGTATCATCGGAGGACCTTAATGGATAAGGTACTGCTTCGACCACCCGAAGAATCTCAAGTTTTGTTCGAGATACTGCTTTGGTATCATCGAAGAGCCTTAATGGATAAGGTACTGCTTCGACCACCCGAAGAATATCAAGTTTTGATCAGAGATACTGCTTTGGTATCATCGAAGAGCCTTAACGAATAAGGTACTGCTTCGACCACCCGAAGAATCTCAAGTTTTGTTCGAGATACTGCTTTGGTATCATCGAAGGACCTTAACGAATGAGGGGCCGCTTCGACCACCCAAGGAGGATTGTTTATACCACTTTGGTATCATCGAAAGACCTTAATGAATGAGGGGCCGCTTCGACCACCCAAGGAGGATTATTTATACCACTTTGGTATCATCGAAGGACCTTAATGAATGAGGGGCCGCTTCGACCACCCAAAGAGGATCGTTTATACCACTCTGGTACCGCGAAGAACCTTATTGGATAAGGGACTGCTTCGACCACCCAGGGAATATCAGGTTATCTCGTTCATCTATTTTGCATCTTGTCATCCCGTTCAGGTATATCCTATCTCTTTGCATTTTTACTTGCTTGTCGAACAAATTTCGGGGTCTTTTTGTATCTAATTGACTTCCACCCTGAAAATGAATGCCATGCAGCTGTTCATTCTCTCAGGTTCAAGGCAATTAGATAGGGGCATCTGTCATACCCCAAATTTGTCCTACCTTTTTTCAAAATTTCTCATTTGCCCGACTTTGTTTTTAATTTACCTCGCTTATACAGCGTAGCGTATTTTTCAGCAAAAGCAGGCATTTTCGCTTTTTTAGCCCAATAAGAGTATGCCACGTGGCATTTGTTTTTTTTATATATATCTATCTTTTTTATATAATTTCATTTTTCTCGTGATAGTTTAATATAATGTTTTCATTTTTTTTAATTAGTTTTGAAGTAGAAATTAGGATTTAAATTTGTTTTTTTATTAAATAGATTTAATTTAGAACTTAATTATAACTTAGAAATTTTAATTTTAAAAAATATAAAAAAATAGAGTTAGCATTTAATTAGGTTTTATTTTTAAAAAAATCAGATTAGATTTTAATTATTTAGTTTAGATTTAAATTGTAATTAATAATTAGAATTAAATTAAATAGGAAAATATATTGATTAATTTAGTTTATTATTCAAGGTTATTTAAAGAAAAATAGAAAATAGATTTAATTAACTTAGTTTATTATTCAGAAAAATTAAAAGAAAAAATAAAAAGAATTTTGAATGAGAACACGGTAGATTTGGAATTAGGTTTAGTCTTTTGGGATTATATAAGGCACTGTTCACCATACCCTAGAAATCAAGGGAGGATACTGTTCACCCTAACCTAATTCTGAGGGGCAACCCTAAACGGCCACCCCAATTCATCCCCCAAAAAACCCTAATTCATCGCTCTCCCAAATCGGCGCCGCCACCACCTTCTGTTTCCTCATTCTCCACCGCCGCTCCACAAAACCCTTCTTTCCTCTCTCAATCTTATTCCTCTTCTTCTACCGCCATTACAACCCTTACCATCATCTCTCTCACAAAACACACACCGCCGTCGGTTTCTCTTTCACCCTCTGTTTTCGTCATCGAATCATCTCCTTCACTTGTGAACAAAAACTCTCTCAACCTTCGTTTTTCTCTGCCTTCAACACGCACGACCCTCTCTCCTTCAAAACTCCAATCTCTGCCTTTCACCGTGATCCCCCCTCTCATATCATCGACCACCCTCACATCAACAACTAAACAAACAAAATTGTTGCGCAAACTCAAACCTCCTTACCCCGCTTCCACCAAGGACCTATACCTGATGGTGCTGATGCGGCTGTTCAGGTTGAAGATACTGAAAAAGTCAACAATACTTCAGATGAGGTTGAAAGGGTCAGAATATTGGTGAAAACTATACAAGGCAATGATATACGCCCGGTGTATTCATTGACAGGGAGTTGATGTACAAAAAGATGAAGTGGTCTTAACATCCGGAGAAATATTAGGTGCTTCTGAGATTGGCTTGCTTGCTACAGTTGGTGTGACAACAGTAAAGGTGTATCCTACTCCAATTGTTGTTGTTCTTTCTACCGGCAATGAGTTTGTAGAGCCATCTACTGGGCATCTGGGTCGTGGCCAGATTAGGGACTCTAATCGTGCCATGCTTCTGGCAGCCACAGTACAACATCAGTGTAAAGTTGTGGACCTTGGTATTGCTAAGGATGATGAAGATTTCCAGAGATTGGTTCTCAATCAACAGAAAGTAAAATTCTAGCTTTTGGGCTACCGGGAAATCCTGTCAGCTTTTCAGTATGCTTTCATCTTTTTGTGGTCCCTGCTATACGCCATCTCGTTGGGTGGACTAATCCTCATCGTCTGAGGGTGCAAGCTCGGCTTCAACAGCCCATAAAGACAGATTACCTTAGACCAGAATATCATCGCGCCACTGTTATATGGACTCACAATGATGGAACGGGCAGCCCTGGTTTTATTGCCGAAAGCACTGGTCATCAGAGGAGTAGTTGACTACTTAGCATGAAGTCAGCTAATGCCTTGTTGGAGTTTCCAACAACAGGCCGTGTTGTATCTGCTGAGACCTCAGTGGCAGCTATCATAATTTCCAACCTAAAACCTGTGAGTTTTGGCAAGAATCATACATCATCAGACCCAACCTCAGCTTTGCCAGGAATTAAACCAGATAAAGTAACTACAGATTCTTCTGGGGGTGTTGACCTCAGAGTGGCTATTCTTACAGTAAGTGACACAGTTGCTGCAGGGGCTGGCCCAGATCGAAGTTTTACAAGTATTCAACTTCAAAGATGGAGGAAGAAAAGGACATATTTGGTGATAATGCTGCCAATGCTTCAGATTTCAGTGATTCGCATGCTGTATTTGGTACTAAAGTTGCTGTCAAAAATTTCTTGAATAACAAGGGCCAAGCGGAAAAGGAATTCAAAGTCAAGGGTTGTAGTGAGTGACAAAGGAATTGTAACAACAGCGACAATGGCATTGGATCACCACTCACCGTCTCTTCAGATATTAGTTCGGCGGCCGGAAGAATGCTCGCTATGGACTGGACCTCCGTTCCCAAACGGTCAGCCTAATATCAAGCTTGATAAAGTTAATTGCTTGAATGCGAAGTTCAGTGATGATGGATCTTTGTTTTTGGTGGTGAAATCTAATTCGGTTGTTAGTATTTATGATTGTAAGAGTGCTCAAGAGATTAGGTCTTTTCAAGTTCCTAATCTTGTTGCTGCTAGTTTGTCCCCGAGGGGAACTTTTTTGCAAACGTTTCAAAAACCTGCGCCGCAAGAGAAGAATGTGACGTTGTGGAAAACGGAGACGGGGGATTCTGTTTATCAACTCTCTCAGAAGAGTATGACAAGAGTCAATTGGCCTGCAATTCAGTTCAGCTCTGATGAAGCTACTGCATTTCGCTGGGCGACTAATGAGTTACAGTTTTTCAATACTGAGGATTTTTCTAAAGCATTTGTTTATCGGTTAAGAGTTCAAGGAGTTGCTTCTGCCGAGCTTTCTAGTTCACCTGCTTCTCATGTAGCTGCATTTGTTCCGGAATCAAAGGGGGTTCCTGCTAGTGTACAAATATATGCTTGTGGGATTGCTTCCAGGGCACCTTGTTACGGTGCTAGTATCATCCAACAAAGATGAGAGCTGGTTCAGATATTTGTTATGTGGTGTTCGACTATTGCATTCCTTGTGTGATTTATCTTCCCGTAACTCTAAATTTGAGCAGATTTTTCTAGATGATGTAAAAGTGACAGGACAGCTGATTGAAATTGCTTTCTTCATGCTAATCGTTCTTGCTGGTTATAAACAGGAAGACCATGTTTTTAGTCATGTGCATATTATGCATTCAACTCTCGTAGCATGCAATTTCTATCTAATAACCGGGTTTATTTCAACACAATGGAGAGATATTGTGCAGGTATTGCTTGCACACCCCAAGGTTGACATATTTATAGATGCGGCTTTTGGATCAGTTCGTGTGGTTGTCAGGTCTCTTGAGACTACACTTGTAACTTATAATAAGGATATTTCCATGGAATCAAATCTGACAGCAGAAAGAAGAGTTTATTATCTCTGCCAGCAGTGTGAAGCTTCTTTACAGTTTCTTCAGTCATTATGTCAGCAAAAAATGTTTAAAGAACACCTTCTTAAGAATAAGGAACTCTGTGGAAAAAGGGTATTCTTTTGCTTGCCCAATCCATCTTGAAGTTGTACATTCAACCACATGCATCGAATAGAATCACAACACCGCAAGACGAGAATAACCACAACACCGCAAGACTTTAACGCATTCTTCGATCATCCTCATCACATTGTAAGTCACATTTTGAGACAAAATTGTGACAAGCTTTTGGGGTTGCGAATATGGATACAGCGTTGCCGAGTTTCAAACTGTGCGAGAATAAAGAATGGCACACAACAGCAGTTGGTCCAAGCATTGCTCGAAATCTACCATGACAGGAACCGAGTAGAAATGGCATAAAGCGCGATAAGCACCATGCATTAAATTAGTTTAAAACTTATTTTGTGTGTGGAACTTTATTTGGGGCTGTTTGTTTTGGATAACCCAAGGTCTGTTATGAATCTATGGATTTTGTTTGGCCTTGTCTGTTTGTTTTACAGGTTGATTCCAATTTCTATAGTAGCATTGGTGGTTTGATGTCTTGAAGATGCCGTTAGTATCTCAAGGATCCGGCGGCACCTTGTTTCAAATTGGAGTCCGACATCGAACATCTCTACAATAATAGCTTCGATCCTATGATGTCGCAACTCATCGGCAAACTATGCTCTAGCAGAAGGACAACAATAATTGCAGCTGATGTCGTGATGAAGCCTACGTACAAATGGTTTCCGTTTTGGAGGTCTCAAGTTCGGGGAGGATATTCTGTTGGTTAATGCAGGTTGTGGATAATTTTTGTGCAGGTTGAGACACCGAAAGAGAACCACATACGAGAACGAAAGAGGAGGGGAGGAACCACTTGTCACGAGGCTCGACATCGTCTTCACTTCCTATCGCACAAATATGAACAAACTCACACAACGCCCTCCAGGATTTGCGTTGCATCGATAGCGAGCCAACAGCCGGTTCTTTTTTATCAACGACATTGACGAAAGCAGTGTCGGTAATTGATGAATCATTTTGACATAATTGTGCTAGGTTTTGCTTATTGTTGTTCTGCGTGAGTTCTTTTTGGTCGTGTGGTGATTGAATCTTATAGCATACTAATACTACACCTCGTGCAGATTCAAGAGCTTTCAGTTTTTGTTGTTCATATGATGTTATCCTGCTGGTAGATTTAAATATTAGTCATATAATAGAGCTGTGAACTCATTTAAATATTGTGCATTCTGTATTTTCAAATCATGGTTGAACTGATGTTTGGTGTTGATTAGGGAGTGCAGTAGGTTTGGTATTGATAATGTGGTGAGCTAATCTTTGTCTTTTGTATAACATTCATTGCTAATAAAGTGGTTGTTGCACAAGTATCCACCTTTCAGGTACAATAGCGGTTCGCAACGGTAGCATGACATTTTCAACTTTTGTGAGGTTCAGTTTTTGTGGATTGCACCAGTTGGAACCGGCAACATTTTGATTTTGCAGCAGAGCTCGATGCCAATGTCGTAACAGCAAACTCTGTAGCACGGAACGATACAAGCATTACAGCAAAGTTTCGGTTATGCTTCCCACGAGAACTCGTTATTACAACAACCACAGTCGGGTAACACTATCTTAGACTTATTTATGGTGATGAATACACTGTTATTGCATTTTCCCAACTTGAATCCTTTGTTGTTTTTGTGAAATTTTGATTATATTCCTGGCTGCTAAAAATCCTGCACCCATGTAAATGTTATTGAATCATTGCTGGTGTACCTCACAGTTTGAATCCAGTATGGTTGTTACATGGCGGCAGCATTTTGCTTCGAAAGTTCTGTTGCAAGCAGTAGTGTAATTAATTTTGTGTTTCGATTTTGTTTCTATGCATTTGATTTCATGTGCATTAATTTAGTCTGGTTGCTAGTGAGGAGACCAAAATAGAGTGATTTCATATTTGCTGTTTCATCAGAGTATTGTGCCATTGTGCTGAGCATCATTTTAAGTCGGTTCCAGTGATTGAAAGTAGTAGCATTACATTCATGACATTTGGTTTGAATATTTGGTTTGAATTAGTAAATACACTTGCAATAGTTTTAACCTTTAATTTTCGTCAATTCCGATTTCGTAAGTTTTAGATGTGGTTGTTGGCTAATGGGTGCTGTTATTAATTTGTGCTTGAGTGCCTATTCGTTTGCATATCGATTTCAGTTACAACTTTGTGAATTCATGAGTTATTGATGGCTGTTGCTATTCGATTGTTATTGCTGATGTTTTCACTTTTCAGTTTTAATGTTGTTGGTTTTTGGCTGTGACCTTGTTCAATTGAATGCACTACTCGGTGAATGAGTAATCTTTGGATTAAGTACATGAAGTATGCTGGTTTTTATTTATAGCTGATGTTGGTGAATTAATATAACAGTAACTTTTGTGCAAGATTTATATTTGTTTGTTTTGGAGGTAGTTTGCCCTGTATTTGCAGCAATACAACTCCATACGCATCAACGAGTCCGACCAACGAATTCACGTCTTCTCAACAACAACTTTGACACTGCAACCATATCAGTGTTGATACATGTACCGCAGCAGCCTCATCTTCAACAATCTTGTGGCAGCTCTCACTCTGGTTATACGGTGTCGGTAAATCCTTGAATCCTTGCTCTTTGGTTCAATTGTATATCAGCACTCGATTGGGCTTGTTTGCTACTGGAGATTCGATGTATTTTTCTTTGTTTTCAAGGCATTGTATGGTTGTTTTTGTTCTAAAACTTTGTCGAATATCCGACGTGACGTCGTTAATATTCAAGCTGATTGTGAATTAATAATGTTGGTTCTGAGTTAGTAAACTGGTTGCTGTTTTTAATTAACAATCTTAGTTCTAATTTAGTAAATTAGCTCTTGTTATGAATTAATAAATAGTTTTAGTTTTTAGTTAGTAAATTCTATACTATTATAAATTAGTGATTTTGGGTCATGGTAAGTGATTTAAGTATGATAAGCAATTTCAATAAGTTATTCAAACCTTTAGTTTTATTTCAAATTCAATTAAATATTTTTCAATGCGATTAATCAAAACATTTTCTTAATTAATAACGAAAGTAGTGGGTTCTTAGGGTCTAGCATCCTTTGAGTCTTTGAACAACCGCTCTCGAGGCGCACGCCCTCGAGTTGTGGTTGTTTCGTCTTTCGGTTTTCAAATCGTTTTTTTTCAATTAAAACTTCTAAAAAGATATTTTTAAACATTCTATAAATATTTTTATAAAAATATATATTTCAAAAATAATACTAAATAGATTTTTTAAAATATTAAACTTTTTTTAAATATTAGATTTCTCAAAACAATTAAATATGAATAGCTTTTCTCAAAACCTTTTTTATAATTGATTATTAATTTTATATATGAAAATTAAAATTATTTTTCTTAATTAAATTAGATTTTTTTTCTCAAACAAATTTCAAAACAATTAAATTCTTGGATCTCGCCTTCCTTGAATTTTTAAGCGACCGCTCTCGAGGTGCACACCTCGAGTTGTGACCCTTTTGATCTTATTTTCTAGAGTGCATAACACGCCTAGTCCGAGTACGCTAATCCATTCAAATTATTTTTCTAAATTAAATCACGAAAAAAATCGAGTTCCTGGAGTCGCGCATTCCTTGAATTTGAGAGTGACTACTATTGAGGCGTACGCCTTGAATGGTGCGTCGTTCGAATTTTCGTTTCTAAAATACCTCCTTTAATTATTTGGGCAAGTACTCTCATTGTCCAACAAACATATTTTATAGTTAATTGAATGGAAAAGGTATCGTTGGAATCTAGCATTCCGGTAATATCCCGATTAATTGATTGCGAGGCCGACGTCTCGTTTATCAATTAGTCGTCATTCCTCCTAAAGTTTTCAACCCATCTAACCTCGTTCCTCACCCATGTGTAATCGAGTCTAAACCCTAGTACGCTTCTAAACCATACGTCAAATTCAAAACTATTTTCTTAATTATACTACGAAAGAATTGAGTTCTTGGAGTCTCGCACTCCTTGAATTCTTGAGTAACCACTATTGGAGCGTACGCTTTAGGTTGTGGATTGCTCGACCTTTCGTCTATAGAACACGTACCCTAACTACTTGGACGAATATTACATTATCCATTCAAATACCATTTCATAATTAATTGAATGAAAAAGATGTTGTTGGGATCTAGCATTCCAATAGTATCCCGATTATTTGATTGCGAGGCCGACGTCTCGTTTATCGAGTATTCGTCATTCTCCCTTAAACTATTCAACCCAACTCCCTTTTCTCGCCCCGTGCGATTGAAACTTTCTCAAACCCTAACTTCGAATTTAGTCGAATGAAAAAGGTGTTGTTGGAATCTAGCATTCCAATAATGCTCCGATTAATTGATTGCGAGGCCGACGTCTCGTTTATCGAATAGTCGTCATTCTTCCCCAAATTACTTAACCAAACTCCTTTTTCTTGCCCCCGCGCAATCGAAACCTTAAAACCTATTTAAATATATCCTCTAACCAAAACATTCAATACGATAAACT